GAGTATTATGTACATGTCATTGATGTGAAATTGATCATCAAAATCAAATTTCCTTTAACAAATGTAAACCACAAAGATAACTTTTTTTTTTGACAAGGCAGTTTGGATTAAGTGACTTGCCCAGGGTCACATAGCGAGTAACTGTGGTGTCCAAGGCCACATTTGAACTCAGGTCCTCTTGACTCCAGGGCTGGTGCTCTATCTACTGTGCCACCCAGCTGCCCCAAGAGAACTTTTTAACTACACTCTTCACTATTGCTGTCAAGTAAGGCTTGGTAAATAGGAAGATTTATGTTATTTGCCATTGTCATGGAATATGGATAGCCTTAATGGAAGATAGACTTCCCAAAAAAGGTTGAGGGCCTTTAAATGCTTTTTGGGGATAACACTGTGTTAATTAATCAACTCTCAGAATGAGGCTTCCATTATGAGGAACACGACTACTAAAAAATATTTTCTCATCTATGAAATGGAAACAATAATACTTGCATTACCTAACTCATAGAGTAGTATGAGAAAAATATTTTGTGAAGTAAAAATTTGGGTTACTATTGTTGTTATTCTATCTCCATACTATAAATTAAATTTAGAAACAAATGCCACCTGAATTCTAAAAAGCACTATAATAATCAGAGAAAGAGAAAGATGCACTCAGTCTTTTGGTAGAATATAATTATGTATATGTACCTGAAACATAAGAATAGTATATCACAATATCTGATACTGGGTTTTGACATGAGGTGTGTTTTATAATAGGCTTTGCATATCTCTAAAGTCTCAGATTAAGAAGAATGTTTTGAAAGGGATAATATAATCTCTAGGAAAGTATTTGAGAACATTAATGTAATTTGAAGAATGACATGAAACAAGGCTAGAGTAGATGCTTGATCCCAAGAATATGCCATTTATCGTGAGAGGTGAAGTAACAGAAAAACTTTAGAAAAAGAGAAAGGGACAATAATTTACTATAGTACTAATCTGTAGAGAGGAAATTTTATACTTAATGGATCCTGAAGATAGCAAGAATGAATTTTTGTTTCTGGGGAATAGATGACATGTAAAATGAAATGTTGGAATGCTTTTTGTAGAGCTACATTCCAGATATATATACAGGCAGGTTAACTCAAAAGTCTGACCTTTGACTGCATAACGCAATCTGGGTAATAAGTGCATTTTGTTAACTTCATTTGTTTTTCCAAAGGGCATTGGGGAAATACATAGTGGGCATGAGTAGTCTACCACATATCAATAAGATTTTGTTCAAGAGTAATATGAAAGATGACATCAAAGACAAGTAAGAAGAAAAAGTGAAGTATGCTCAGTCATATGGCAAAAATCAGAGATAACTAGTGAAGTGGATTTACTGCTATCCATGATCAAGGAATGTATTACAAAGTTTAGACCACTAGAGGATACAACTTTGTCTATGGCATCAAAATCCACTGAAATATATAAGCATTGATTTTTGTTAGTTGTTGGAAACAGTGATATAAATGATTACAAAACCAGGAGTTTGCAATTTTATTGGTCCAAGAAATCAATATTATTATGACTTATCATCACTGAACTAATGAAAAAGAGAGTATATATGAATTATACTTGGAGAAAAATAATGAGTACTGACATGTGAATAAGAGGTAAGTTCCAGAAATTAAAAGATCAGAATGAATTCTCTAGTGGAATGAATCTGTAATGTTTATCAAGGTTTTCATCAGTGACTTGCATAAAGGCAGAGACGGAATACTCATCAATTCTAGGACTGACATGGAGTTCGGAGGGCTAATTCACTGGATCCAAAAGGATCTTGACAGACTAGAACATTGGACTGGCTCTATCAAGATGAAATATGAGAAACAGATATAAAGTCTTATACTTGGGTTAAAAAAAAAGTCAGTTTCAAAAGTACAAGATAAGAAAGTCTTGGTTAGATATCAGTTCTGAAAAAAATATGTAGGAGTTTTAGTGGACTGCAAGCAAAATACGAGTCAGCAATATAGTGTGGAAGCCAGAAAAGCTGGTGTGACCTTGAACTACATTTAGAGCAACAGAGTTTCCAAGATAATGAAGGTGATAGTCTCACTTGACACTTGTCAAACATCAACTGGATTACAGTGTTTAGTTTGAGGTACCAAAGGTTGAGAAGGACAATGATAAGCTACTGTAGGGGCAGTTAGGTGGCACAGTGGATAGAGCACCAGGCCTGGAGTCAAGAAGATCTGAGTTCAAATTTGACCTCAGATACTAGCTGTGTGACTCTGGGCAAATCACTTAACCCTTATTTGCCTCAGTTCTTCATCTGCAAAATGGGTGGAGAAGGAAATAGCAAACCACTCCAGTATCTTTGCCAAAAATATCTTATGGACAGAGTCCATGGGGTCATTAGAATCTGATAGGATTGGACAACCAAACAACAACATCAAAGCTGTAGAGTTTCCACAGGAGGGCAAGTAACATGGTAAAGGACCTTGAGTCCATGTTATACGAAGGTGAATTTAAGGAACTAGACATGTCTAGCCTAGGGAAGACTCAGCTACACATTATATGACATGAGGAGGGATTGGACTTGTTTTGTCTGGCTCCAGAGGGAAGATCCAGGAATCATGGGTGGCAGTTACAAAGGCAAATTTAGGCTTGGAATCAGGAAAACTTCCTAATAATTAATGATGTTCCAAAGATGCTCCAAGACATAGTGGGTTCTTCCTTCGTGGAGCTTTTCCAGAAGAGGGTGGATGACCATTTCTTGCATAGGTTATACTGGGAATTCCTTTTTTATATGGGTTGGACTAGATGGATAATAAAGTTATTTCCAACTGTCAAATTTGTGATTCTATATTTCACTAAGTTTAGAATAATTTATTAGTAAATAAAACAATAAGTCATAACAGATTTATTTTATATATATATACATATATATATAGAATTAAATAAGAAAAATAAAGTCCTTGTGCTCTATTTTCCATTTCTACCAAAAGAGGTATTTGAATGTTTAAAGATAGTAGTTTTAAAAAAAATTGTAAAATCTTATTGTTTAAACAAAATCTTAAAATCTCATTCACTGGAGAATTTATAGTGTTTTCTTTTCAAGAAAGAAATGGCTTTCTTTAAGAAATGGCTTTTTTAAAAAGACAACACTATAAATTCTCCAATGAATGAGATTAGGTTAAGAAAAAAAAAAGATGATGAAATCATAGAATTTTAGGGCTGCATGGGCCCTTAGAGATCATCTAGTCCAACTATATCATTTTATAGATGAGAAATTCTGTCCTTGCAAAGGGAATAATTCTTGTGCTCACAGATATATTCATGATCAACTCATCTTCTGCCATATAGGAAGTAATCTGTTCTCTTATATAGAGGCCAGTTTTTATCAGTTGGAGTTAAGGCAGTATTAGATGAGGACAGCTTTGGAGCAGTTTCTATATATTAGATAAGCAGATTCTATATATTTAAAAGAAGTAATCCCTGTCCCTCATAAAACAAACAAACAAACAAACACAAGACCATTATCCTTTTGGTACAGGAAATAATGGTCCTGATTCTTGAACAATATGTTTAACAGTGTCTTTTTACATGAACCAAAAAAAAAATTTACTCTAAACACCTAAATCTTATATTTTCAACATTTTTATCCTAACCACCACATACAGTTTAAAGAATTATGGTTCTCTCTACTGCAACAAATAAAGGGTAGATTCCCATTCATTTAAACTGCCCCCTCCAAAATGGTGATTGTGCCATTCATAAGCAAATATTACCTATATGACAATTCTTTAAGTAATATATTAAATGAAATTGATGTGAAAATGACTTAAGACAAAATAAGTTACAGTTTCTAGTTTGGTCTAAGTCAAGGAAAAAATGACCAATGCCAATTATAGAACTTGATTGGCTGGAAAAAGTGACATGTTCCTATAATCCCTGTTGCTGAGGAGGTTGAGGTTGGTGGATTGCTTGAGCTTGGAAGTTCTGAGCTGAAGAAGTCTAAGCTGATTGGGTTTTCCCAGTCAGTCTGGCAGCAATGTGGTAAGCCCTAAGGAGCAGAGAGCTACCAAGCTGCTTAAGAAGGGATTAACTAATCCAGGCAGGAAAAAATGGAGAAGGTAAATCATCTATACCAATAGGTGCTGGGATCAGGTCCATCAGTGGCTGCTATACTTCTATCTTGGGCAAAATAGGGAGATTCTATTTAAAACAAAATAAAACAAACAAAAAAGCAAGCTGGTCCTTGCAAAAGTAGAGCCAAAATATCTTCCTCAGGAGAGTGAATCTGGAATCTCAGAGGTTCCTAGACTACTGCTTTCCAATAAATAATGATAATGGCTCTAGATGTTTTCACTAAGCTCAAATTCAGTCTAGAAAAAAAAATCAATTAGACATTTGCTAAAAGTACAGGGAGACAACTTGAGCTATTCAGAGAAAAGAAAAATAAAGCAGAGCCTGTGGAACAATTTACCCAGAAGCATTCAAGATCAAGGCGCACATACAGATTTTTCCCTTATTCTTATGGATTTCTGTTAGTTGGTCATGCATTCTAAAGATTAAGATTAGATATGCTTTTCTTCTCATTTGTTGCAGGTATGGATTATGCAGTATTTTATTTTTTTTACTACCTCAAAGAGTATGAAATTGTTTTATACCTGGGACAATGTGTAACTCTATGATGCTTAGCAGACTCTATAGCTACATAATTGCCCATTTTCATTGCTTGCAATGAGGCCTGACAGCTCACCAGTTTATGGCAGTAGCAGCTGACTATATGGAAAGAAGTTCCCTCTTTCCTAACTTCCTTTCATAAAAGATATTCTGAAAATTCAAGTTAAAAAAAATCCAGCTTTATGAATAATGGAATACTCTGCTACACTCAGACAGGTTTTATACTTTGTTATAATATTCCTATCATAGGGAATGAGGTCCAGCAGAAGTTGAAAATAAAGCAATAAATTTAAGACTCCTTAAAGTAATCATAGAAGTTATAAATATGAAAAATAGGTTATAATTACCTCTGTTGAGTGATGCTGAACTGTTTATATCTCCGGTAATAAAGGAAGACTCAGACTGCTTTCGAACTGTGTCATTCCACATCCTTCGAATCCGGCTCTAGAAATGGGAAAGGGAGGAGAAAAAATAAACCAATCAGGCACTGAATTTTCTCACAAAAATTTACCCCTACACACAATTTTGTGTGTGTGCCCTATGTTGCTGAGAAAGCTTTTGTTTATAATTTCCTGCCTTGCTGTAATAAACATTTTTTATCATTTTTGTAGCTCACTTGAATTGATCTCCCATGAAGTCTTGATGCACTCAACTGTCATATGTATTTCCATTGAAAAGGAAAAGGACAAAAGCTATGAGCTACTAGAATGGTATTGTAGCAATTAAAGAGACATAAATGATGAATATTTTCTTTAAAGACTTTTGCTTGGTTAAAATGTTTTAAATTTGGTGAAGGTTCAAGCTAATAAAGTACTTTATAAACATCTGAACAATTCTGAGGGGTCTGTTTTATCTGGGAAAGTATTAAACTGTTTTTATTCTGGTGGAGATAATGTGCGCGCGCACACGCATACACACACACACCCTTTGGGATGCCAAGTTTTGGTGCCCTTCAAATTATAACAGAAAACTAACAGCTAAACAATCATTCTATTAAAAAAAAACTAGTTTCATTTCAATAAGACTCATTTTTTCAACGAACTGGAATTTTACGGTTTACCACACTATCTGTTTCTTTAAAAAAGTTAAATGTAGTCAATTCACCTTCCTACTACACTGTCGATGAAAAATATGGGGGTTTAATGTGGAAAATTCTTAAACTCATTTCTGTTTCTGTAGACAGCCAAAAACAAACAAGTTGCCTGACCCAGAGAGGTATCAGCTTGGGAAGATCACAGTATTGATACCACATTTAAATTAGAAACTATTCCTATTCAAGGGGCACTAAAAATCTACTGGGAAGTACCCTGTACTCCCAGCTACCTGGGAAGTAAACCCATATTTTCAGAGACTATGCCAACAGCAGGTAAACCTCAGCAATTCTGACCAAGTTGGAAAGGTTTAACTTATGGATTACAGAATGGAGTATGTATCTCTAGCTTCCAGTGATCATTTTCTTTTGGCCATAGGAACACATGGAATATTAAGTCATGGAAAGATTTTCAGTGGAGGCAGGATCATTTTTTTCACTATTTCAAGGCATGAAAATATTCTTTTTACCAAGGCTTTTTATGATTCCTCAACAAGTCAGTAGATGGCTTTTGAAAGTTGCTGTGTGATGATAATAATAATAATATCGTAATCTGGGGATAAGCTTCTCCCAATCTGACTCAGCTGTTCCTCAGATGACAGACATACAGATCATCGCTCTACTCATACACAAAACTTTTCTAGCTTGTTGGGAAATTGTTAGGACTTTCATTCTGAAGGTATGACTTATGAGAGAGAAACGAGTCATCTCAACACAACAATGAGGTATGAGAATAAGACTTTAAGGATGATAGTATCAACACTGATGAAAAAGAGTTATTTTTGATAGTTTCTGTCACATACAATAATCCTCAAAATGGTCTATTAATTGCCAGTACTACTTAGGGATGGTAGACTATCTTTATCCAGGATCCCAGGTCTGAAGTTAGAGGTAAGTATCAGAGATGGGGTTTCAAATGACAAGTATTAGATACACACAATGACAACTTTACTATTATTTCATTTTTTTCCCGGTCCATCTAGCTATTCCATTTTTATCAAGATTTTAAGGCTTGCTGTGAGTAAGAAGTCAAAGAATAATCGAGGTAGAGACTTAATACCTTTTTAAGGAAAGGCATGGAAAACTCAATTTAAAAGCATTAAAAATATTATTTAACACCTTGTCTCTAGAGATCCCTATGCTTGGCTCTGGAGATGCAGTATTTAGAAAAAGATAATGTCCTTGCCCACATGAAACTTGCATTCTTGTAGGGAAAGCACAAATGGCTCCAATACATTATGATACATAGTAAATTCTTTAAAGAATTGCAAAACAAATTGGGAAGATTGTTACTAGCAGGGGGAGCAGAGTTGCTTCATGTAGGAGGTGACATTTAAGATGGGCTTGAAAATATAGTTTGGAATTCAATAAGTAAAGCCTTTCATACAGGATGTATCAAAATGCAGACAGAAAACTACAGTGTGGGTGTAAAAGGAAAAGAGAATAGTACAATTTGGCTGAAATAGAGTATGTGGATGTGAGCTAAATTAATTTTAAACACAACTAATATGATAGGCCATATTAGCAGGCATGGTTAGTGTCCAGGACTAAGGAGGTGATAGTCCTTTTCCATGAGCAGATCACAACTGGAATATGCCACAAGATATATTTTTAAAAGGATATGGACATCCTGAAGAATTTCCAGAGATGAATGACAAAGATGGCAAAGAGGCTTAAGATTATGCCATATGAGGAAGGGTTGAAAGAACTAGGAATATTTAGCCAGAAGAAGACTTATGGTAGGATAAAATATTTATCTTTCATAGTGTGTGGTACTGTCATGTAGAAAAGGGAGTAGACTTGTTCTCCATGGCCCCATGGGAAGAATGAAGAGCAGAGGTTAGTAATTGCAAAAGGGAAGATTTAGGCTTGATGTTAGAAAAATTTCCAAAATTAGAACTATGCCAAAGTGGAAAAGTCCATTTTGGGAGGTAATAAAGGTAAAGACGCTTACTAAAAGTCTTCAAACAAAGCATGGATGACCAATTATACATTATGTTGTAGAGGTAAGAGCTGAACTGGACAGCCTCTGAGGTCCCTTCCAACTTTCAGATTCCATGATTCCCTGAGCAATATGAAATCAGGATGGAAAGATTGGGTCATGCCAGATTGTGTTAGTCTTAGGCTGGTTGGCAAAGGAGTTTAGACTTTACTCAGTGAACAATAGAGAAATATGAAAGATTTTTGAACTGAGAACCAAATAGCAAAAGAACATTAATTTCACAGAAGTATAAAAAATGTGTTGGAGTGAGAAAAGAAGGGAAGCAGGAATTATATTAGGTCTTTTATGCAAGCTACATGCTCATACTACATTCTCTTTTTCATAATCAGCCCTACTCCAGTCTGGTTCATTCATCTCTCAGCCTTTTCCCTGTGTTGCTGGAAACAACTGGTCTCTTTTCACCACTTATCTACATCCTTAATCTTTCAACCAATTTTCAGTTCATTTTCTCATTTTAAATGAAATCCAGCCCTTGCTGAAGATAGGTGGCCATTCCTTTTCTTCTACCCCTTGGAGTTACTAGCTAATGAACTATGCTCCTTGATTCCTACTGCTGTTTTCAGATCATTCCTTTACTATATTCCCTCTTTTGGAATCCAAGTAATATGTTTATACAATTATATATCCTCTCTACCCATGTTGCTATTCATTACTGACCTACTGGTCATTTTCTCAAATTCCTTAAACATGCCAGTATCTAGGTAATAATTTAATTTCTACTCTACCCTCTTATACCACTACCATCATCATCACTACCACCACCACCACCACATCATTATCATCAATATGTCCTTCATTAATAATACTGATGAAGCTCTAACAACCATGCCACTTCATTCATCAACCTCTTAAAATATAATTTTCCACTTCCATCTTATTTTAGTGATATACTGTCACACAGAAGCATAGTATATATAAGTTGGATGAGTTTAAGAAAACGTTTGGTCTAAACCATAAAAGACCCTCCAAGTGACCATTAAGCTATGACCTTAAGATATTTGAGGCATAATGGTATAAAGGAAATTGTACCAAACTGAATTTGGTGTCAGAGGACAGGGGTTCAAATCCTGGTTCTACTACTTACTATCCATGTGATCTTAGGTCACTTAGCCTTTCTAGGACTCAAGTTTCCTTATCTGTAAAGGGTATTTAAGGTCCCTTACAGCTCTAATTTTATGAATCCATGGTCCATTGAAAGCAAATTTACTATTTCCCAAGGTAGCAAATTACACTTGTGTGTGGCTTTAATTATTAGTAATATTTCCTTTCATCAAGTATAAGTTTGCCTCTTACTTCCATTTCTTTCCTTAGGAAATGACAGTAAATCTAATCCTTTTTCATGATAAACCTTCAAATTCCTAAAACTCAGTTATGCTCCATCCTAAGTTTTCTTTTCTCCAGGTTAAATATAGCCAGTTTCCTTCACAATTCTCAAATGGCATAAACTCAAAGCCCTTCCCCATCCTGGTTGCCCTCCTTTCAATGCTTTCTAGCTAATCAATTTTCTTCCCAAAATATGATGCCTAGAACTTAACACTTCAGATGGGATATGACAAGGACCAAATGTAATGACTGTCATCTCTCCAGTCCCGGAACCCATGTCTTTTTAAAGATAGCCTAACATGTCATCAGATTTCTTGGCTGCTATATCACAATGTTAATTCATTGTTAACTCATTTTTGTCCTTAAAGTTGATTAAAACCTTAGATAATTTTTATATAAATGTCTGTCTAGTCACACCTCTGCCCCATTTTGTTAATGTGAAGTTGATTTTTTGAATCTAAGACGTTATTTTTATCCCTTTAAGACTCATCTTAGATTTGGCCCATATTCTAGCCTGTCAAGATCTTTTTTTTTTTTTGGTTCCTATCATTTATTATGATAGCTATCCCTCTCAGCTTTATGACATCTGCAAATTTGATAAGCACATCATCTAAGCCTTTACTCAAGTGACTGAAAGAAGTGATAACAGCACAAGTCTGTGGGACAAACAATTTGACCCCTCCTTCCAAAGTGGCATCACTTTGGAAGTGACAAATTTTTGTGTTGAGCAATTTCCCAGTTCCAAACCTACCTATTCAGACTATCGTCTAGCTCGTGTCCTTCCATGTTTTCTACAAGAATAGCACAATAGGCATTGTCAAATGCTTTGCTAAAATCTACTTAAAAACATATCTATAGTATTCCTCTGGTCTACCAGTGTAATAACCCTATTAAAAAAGGAAATGAGATTAGTCTGGCATGCCCTGTTCTTGATGGAGTCATGCTGGCTCTATGTGATCACTACTTCCTTTTTAGACATTCACTAACTAAACCTTTAATAGTAATTTGTAGTATCTTGCCAGCAAACTA